TTCTCTGAAAATGCTCTTTGAAAATGTGTGATTGAAAACAGGCAAAGGTCGTCCATAGAGTTTACCTGGAAATGCTGTGACACAAACACGATTTTTTCTAAAACTTTTCATTAAGATTTTCCTACTTATTTTCATCATAAGAACTTTTAACAAACTTCTAAAATCTCAGAAATTATTTTCCTCATAAGAATTCCTTACTTCCAAATCTGTGACTCCCCAAATTCACCCGGAACCCCCCAAGCCACTCAGACGATTTCTAAATTCACCTGAAAACCTAAGCCACACAGACGATTTTTTCCCCCAGAAAAAAAAAATCGTCTGTGCGTCTTACACCGCACAGGGGTCCTCCGCCCAAAAAAAAAAAATCGTCTGTGCGTCTTCCACCCTACTACTCACACACGCACAACCACCACACACACAACCACCACACACATAATCACCATACACACAACCACACACACTCAACCACCACACACACACAACCACCACACACACACAACACCACACACACAACCATCACACACACAACCACCACACACACACACACAACCACCACACACACACAACCACCACACACACACAACACACCACCACACATACACACACACAACCACCACACACACACACAACCACCACAGACAACCACCACACTCACACAACCACCACACTCACACAACCACCACACACACACACAACCACCACACACAACCACCACACTCACACAACCAACACACACACACAACCACCACACACACACACAACTACCACACACATAACTACCACACACACAACCACCACACTCACAACCACCACACACAACCACACACACACACACACAACCATCACACACACAACCACTACACACACAACCACCACACACAACCACCACACACACACACAACCACCACACTCACAACCACCACACACACAACCACCACACACACACACAACCACCACACACACACACAACCACCACACACACCACACACACAACCCCACCACACACACACACACAACCACCACAACACACACACAACCACCACACACAATCACCACACACATACACACACACACACAACCATCACACACACACACAACCACCACACACACAACACACACACACACCCACACACCACAACACACACACACACACACACACACACAACCACCACACACACACACACACACACACAACCACCACACACACACACACACACACACAACACACACACACACACACACACACACACACACACACACACACCACCACACACACACACACACACACACACCACACACACACACACACACACACACACACACACACACACACACACAACACATAACCACCACACACACACACACCACACACACACACACACAACCACCACAACCACACAACCACCACACACACAATCACCACACACACACACAACCACACACACACACACACACACACACACACACACACACACACACACACACAACCACCACACACACACACAACCACCACACACACACACACACAACCACCACACACACACACACACACACAACCACCACACACACACACACACACACAACCACCACACTCACAACCACCACACACACAACCACCACACACACACACAACCACCACACATACTACCAGCACAATAACAACACCCACAACACACCTACCACAACCAGCACATTAACAACCACCACAACACACCTACCACAACCAGCACATTAACAACCACCACAACACACCTACCACAACAGCACACACAACCACCACAACACACCTACCACAACCAGCACATTAACAACCACAACCACACACCTACCACAACCACACATTAACAACACCACAACCAGCACATACCACAACCAGCACATTAACAACCACCACAACACACCTACCACAACCAGCACATTAACAACCACCACAACACACCTACCACAACCAGCACATTAACAACCACCACAACACACCTACCACAACCAGCACATTAACAACCACCACAACACACCTACCACAACCAGCACATTAACAACCACCACAACACACCTACCACAACCAGCACATTAACAACCACCACAACACACCTACCACAACCAGCACATTAACAACCACCACAACACACCTACCACAACCAGCACATTAACAACCACCACAACACCACAACCAGCACATACAACCACAACACATTAACAACCACCACAACACACCTACCACAACCAGCACATTAACAACCACCACAACACACCTACCACAACCAGCACATTAACAACCACCACAACACACCTACCACAACCAGCACATTAACAACCACCACAACACACCTACCACAACCAGCACATTAACAACCACCACAACACACCTACCACAACCAGCACATTAACAACCACCACAACACACCTACCACAACCAGCACATTAACAACCACCACAACACACATACCACAACCAGCACATTAACAACCACCACAACACACCTACCACAACCAGCACATTAACAACCACCACAACACACCTACACAACCAGCACATTAACAACCACCACAACCACCACACAACCAGCACATTAACACCACCACAACAACACCTACCACAACCACCACCACCACATACTGGCAACCAGTACATTACAACCACCACATTAACACCACAACACCTACCACAACCACACATTAACAACCACCACAACACACCTACCACAACCAGCACATTAACAACCACCACAACACCTACCACAACCAGCACATTAACAACCACCACAACACACCTACCACAACCAGCACATTAACAACCACCACCACACACTGGCACAACTCCACATTAACAACCACCACAACCACCTACTACAACCTGTACCAGCACATTAACAACCACTCCAGCCCCCCTCTACTGGCACAACCAGCCCCTCTACTGGCAGGGGGTTGGTGCTGGACCTGTAGCTCCAGCCCCCCTCTACCTGGCAGGGGGTTGGTGCTGGACCTGTAGCTCCAGCCCCCCTCTACTGGCAGGGGGTTGGTGCTGGACCTGTAGCTCCAGCCCCCCTCTACTGGCAGGGGGTTGGTGCTGGACCTGTAGCTCCAGCCCCCCTCTACTGGCAGGGGGTTGGTGCTGGACCTGTAGCTCCAGCCCCCCTCTACTGGCAGGGGGTTGGTGCTGGACCTGTAGCTCCAGCCCCCCCCCTCTACTGGCAGGGGGTTGGTGCTGGACCTGTAGCTCCAGCCCCCCTCTACTGGCAGGGGGTTGGTGCTGGACCTGTAGCTCCAGCCCCCCTCTACTGGCAGGGGGTTGGTGCTGGACCTGTAGCTCCAGCCCCCCTCTACTGGCAGGGGGTTGGTGCTGGACCTGTAGCTCCAGCCCCCCTCTACTGGCAGGGGGTTGGTGCTGGACCTGTAGCTCCAGCCCCCCTCTACTGGCAGGGGGTTGGTGCTGGACCTGTAGCTCCAGCCCCCCTCTACTGGCAGGGGGTTGGTGCTGGACCTGTAGCTCCAGCCCCCCTCTACTGGCAGGGGGTTGGTGCTGGACCTGTAGCTCCAGCCCCCCTCTACTGGCAGGGGGTTGGTGCTGGACCTGTAGCTCCAGCCCCCCTCTACTGGCAGGGGGTTGGTGCTGGACCTGTAGCTCCAGCCCCCCTCTACTGGCAGGGGGTTGGTGCTGGACCTGTAGCTCCAGCCCCCCTCTACTGGCAGGGGGTTGGTGCTGGACCTGTAGCTCCAGCCCCCCTCTACTGGCAGGGGGTTGGTGCTGGACCTGTAGCTCCAGCCCCCCTCTACTGGCAGGGGGTTGGTGCTGGACCTGTAGCTCCAGCCCCCCTCTACTGGCAGGGGGTTGGTGCTGGACCTGTAGCTCCAGCCCCCCTCTACTGGCAGGGGGTTGGTGCTGGACCTGTAGCTCCAGCCCCCCTCTACTGGCAGGGGGTTGGTGCTGGACTCTGTAGCTCCAGCCCCCCTCTACTGGCAGGGGGTTGGTGCTGGACCTGTAGCTCCAGCCCCCCTCTACTGGCAGGGGGTTGGTGCTGGACCTGTAGCTCCAGCCCCCCTCTACTGGCAGGGGGTTGGTGCTGGCCTGTAGCTCCAGCCCCCCTCTACTGGCAGGGGGTTGGTGCTGGACCTGTAGCTCCAGCCCCCCTCTACTGGCAGGGGGTTGGTGCTGGACCTGTAGCTCCAGCCCCCCTCTACTGGCAGGGGGTTGGTGCTGGACCTGTAGCTCCAGCCCCCCTCTACTGGCAGGGGGTTGGTGCTGGACCTGTAGCTCCAGCCCCCCTCTACTGGCAGGGGGTTGGTGCTGGACCTGTAGCTCCAGCCCCCCTCTACTGGCAGGGGGTTGGTGCTGGACCTGTAGCTCCAGCCCCCCTCTACTGGCAGGGGGTTGGTGCTGGACCTGTAGCTCCAGCCCCCCTCTACTGGCAGGGGGTTGGTGCTGGACCTGTAGCTCCAGCCCCCCTCTACTGGCAGGGGGTTGGTGCTGGACCTGTAGCTCCAGCCCCCCTCTACTGGCAGGGGGTTGGTGCTGGACCTGTAGCTCCAGCCCCCCTCTACTGGCAGGGGGTTGGTGCTGGACCTGTAGCTCCAGCCCCCCTCTACTGGCAGGGGTTGGTGCTGGACCTGTAGCTCCAGCCCCCCTCTACTGGCAGGGGGTTGGTGCTGGACCTGTAGCTCCAGCCCCCCTCTACTGGCAGGGGGTTGGTGATGGACCTGTAGCTCCAGCCCCCCTCTACTGGCAGGGGGTTGGTGCTGGAGCTCCAGCCCCCCTCTACTGGCAGGGGGTTGGTGTTGGACAGCTCCCCCCCCTCTACTGGCAGGGGGTTGGTGCTGGACCTGTAGCTCCAGCCCCCCTCTACTGGCAGGGGGTTGGTGCTGGACCTGTAGCTCCAGCCCCCCTCTACTGGCAGGGGGTTGGTGCTGGACCTGTAGCTCCAGCCCCCCTCTACTGGCAGGGGGTTGGTGCTGGACCTGTAGCTCCAGCCCCCCTCTACTGGCAGGGGGTTGGTGCTGGACCTGTAGCTCCAGCCCCCTCTACTGGCAGGGGGTTGGTGTTGGAACTGTAGCAGAAATGGTTCACATGTTTCCATTCATCTGATGCCTCTGTTCACCTACCAGTAAATATTTATCCAGGAGTTAGGCTGGATTGCGGATTGCATGTTGAGGAAAGTCAGTAGTTGACTTAGGGAAACCTCAATAAACCTAAGAACAGTCTTCCTGTCTTCAAAATGGAACTTAATATATTTTGATATGACCAATGAGAGAAAATAAAAAACTTACTGTTATTTCCTTCTGGGGGATTTCTCCAGTGATTTCCTGAACTTTAGTCATGATGCTGGAGTCCGAGTCTCCCAGGTGTACGGGGTCAGCTGTGGCACCTGTCTCTGTGGTCGTCATCTCCAGGGCCTCCCTGATGGTCTCCTGCACCTGTCATTACCAACACAAACATTAATGGTGGAGGCTGAGTCTCCCAGGTGTACGGGGTCAGCTGTGGCACCTGTCTCTGTGGTCGTCATCTCCAGGGCCTCCCTGATGGTCTCCTGCACCTGTCATTACCAACACAAACATTAATGGTGGAGGCTGGACTATAATGAAGCATCAGGCTCTGAGTCTCTGTAACTGGACTATAATGAAGCATCCCTGGCTCTGAGTAAAGTAACTGGACTATAATGAAGCATCATCAGGCTCTGAGTAAAGTAACTGGACTATAATGAAGCATCTGGCTCTGAGTAAAGTAACTGGACTATAATGAATGTAAAGTAACTGGACTATAATGAAGTAAAGTAACATCTGGCTCTGAGTAAAGTAACTGGACTATAATGAAGCATCTGGCTCTGAGTAAAGTAACTGGACTATAATGAAGCATCAGGCTCTGAGTAAAGTAACTGGACTATAATGAAGCATCAGGCTCTGAGTAAAGTAACTGGACTATAATGAAGCATCAGGCTCTGAGTAAAGTAACTGGACTATAATGAAGCATCAGGCTCTGAGTAAAGTAACTGGACTATAATGAAGCATCAGGCTCTGAGTAAAGTAACTGGACTATAATGAAGCATCAAAAGTAACTGGACTATAATGAAGCATCTGGCTCTGAGTAAAGTAACTGGACTATAATGAAGCATCTGGCTCTGAGTTAAGAGATAATAGACATGCTGACATACACAAATGGGTCAACATGTGAAGGACTCAAGTATAACATGCTGCCTTGAGACTTGGGTTATAATATTAGTTATGAGTCAAGTCATTAGTTCTAACTGATGAAGCATTGTCTATATTCTGGACCCAAAGTCTTTATTTAGTTGTAGTAAACACTGACCTGAGGGTGTGTGTGTGTGTACTCGCCTAATTGTGCTTGCGGGGGTTGAGCTTTGGCTCTTTGGTCCCGCCTCTCAACTGTCAATCAACAGGTGTACAAGTTCCTGAGCCTATTGGGTTCTATCATATCTACACTTGAAACTGTGTATGGAGTCAGCCTCCACCACATCACTTCCTAATGCATTCCATTTGACTCTGACACTAAAAAAGTTCTTTCTAATATCTCTGTGACTCATTTGGGCACTCAGTTTCCACCTGTGTCCCCTAGTGTGTGTGCCCCTTGTGTTAAATAGCCTGTCTTTATCTACCCTATCAATTCCCTTGAGAATCTTTAATGTGGTGATCATGTCCCCCCTAACCCTTCTGTCTTCCAGCGAAGTGAGGTTTAATTCCCGTAGCCTCTCCTCGTAGCTCATACCTCTCAGCTCGGGCACTAGTCTGGTGGCAAACCTTTGAACCTTTTACAGTTTGGTCTTATCCTTGACTAGATATGGACTCCATGCTGGGGCTGCATACTCCAGGATTGGCCTGACATATGTGGTATACAAAGTTCTGAATGATTCTTTACACAAGTTTCTGAATGCTGTTCTTATGTTGGCAAGCCTGGCATATGTGTAATTACCTAAGAGTAATTACAGAATGAAAGCTACGCTCGTGGTGTCCCGTCTTCCCAGCACTCTTTGTCATATAACGTTTTGAAACTACTGACGGTCTTGGCCTCCACCACCTTCTCACCTAACTTGTTCCAACCTTCTACCACTCTATTTGCGAAAGTGAATTTTCTTATATTTCTTCGGCATCTGTGTTTAGCTAGTTTAAATCTATGACCTCTTGTTCTTAAAGTTCCAAGTCTCAGTAAATCTTCCCTATCGATATTATCAATTTCTGTTACTATTTTGTATGTAGTGATCATATCACCTCTTTTTCTTCTGTCTTTTAGTTTTGGCATATTTAATGCCTCTAACCTCTCCTCGTAGCTCTTGCCCTTCAGTTCTGGGAGCCACTTAGTAGCATGTCTTTGCACCTTTTCCAGTTTGTTGATGTGCTTCTTAAGATATGGGCACCACACAACCGCTGCATATTCTAGCTTTGGCCTAACAAAAGTCATGAACAATTTCTTTAGTATATCGCCATCCATGTATTTAAAAGCAATTATGAAGTTAGAAAACGTGGCATAGGCTCCTTGCACAATATTCTTTATGTGGTCCTCAGGTGATAGTTTTCTATCTAGAACCACCCCTAGATCTCTTTATCAGAATTCTTTAATGATTTCTCACATAATATATAGGTTGTGTGGGGTTATCTTGAGATGATTTCGGGGCTTTTAGTGTCCCCGCGGCCCGGTCCTCGACGAGGCCTCCACCCCCAGGAAGCAGCCCGTGACAGCTGACTAACACCAAGGTACCTATTTTACTGCTAGGTAACAGGGGCATAGGGTGAAAGAAACTCTGCCCATTGTTTCTCGCCAGCACCTGGGATCGAACCCAGGACCACAGGATCACAAGTCCCGCGTGCTGTCCGCTCGGCCGACCGGCTCAAATGTTCTCCTATTCCACATTCCATAACATGGCATTTATTAACATTAAATTCCATTTGCCAAGTGGTGCTCCATATACTTATTTTGTCCAGGTCTTCTTGAAGGGCATGACAATCATCAAAGTTTCTTATCCTTCCTATTATCTTAGCATCATCAGCAAACATGTTCATATAATTCTGTATACCAACTGGTAGATCATTTATGTAGACAATAAACATCACTGGTGCAAGAACTGAACCCTGTGGTACTCCACTTGTGACATTTCTCCAGTCCGATACATTGCCTCTGATTACTGCCCTCATTTTTCTATCAGTCAGAAAATTTTTCATCCATTTTAGAAGCTTACCTGTCACCCCTCCAATATTTTCCAGTTTCCATAAGAACCTCTTATGTGGAACTCTGTCGAAAGCCTTTTTTAGGTCCAGATAGATGCAGTCAACCAAACCATCTCTTTCCTGTAATATCTCTGTGGCTCGATCATAGAAACTGAGTAAATTCGATACACAGGATCTTCCAGATCGAAAACCATACTGTCTGTCTGATATTATATCATTTCTCTCCAGGTGTTCTACCCATTTAGTTTTGATTAGTTTTTCCAATACTTTCACTATTACACTTGTCAATGATACAGGTCTATAATTGAGGGGGTCTTCCCTGCTGCCACTTTTGTAGATTGGAACTATGTTAGCCTGTTTCCACACGTCTGCTACGATTCCTGTACACAGGGATGCCTGAAAGATCAGGTGAAGTGGAATGCTGAGCTCAGATGCACATTCTCTCAGAACCCATGGTGAAACTCCATCTGGGCCAGCTGCTTTGTTCTTACTGAGCTCCTTTAGCATATTTTCCACTTCATCTCTAGACACCTCTATCCGCTCTATGTTGTTCTCTGGAATTCTTATTGTGTCTGGTTCTCTGAAGATTTTATTTTGTACAAACACCCTTTGGAACTTTTCATTTAATGTTTCACACATTTCCTTTTCATTTTCTGTGAATCTGTTTCCCATTTTCAACCTCTGGATATTATCCTTTACCTGCAATTTGTTGTTTATGGATTTGTAGAATAGGCCCGGTTCTGTTTTACATTTATCCGCTATCCCTTTTTCAAAATTTCTTTCTGCCTCTCTCCTTACTGCCGTATAGTTGTTTCTCGCATCTTTGTATCGCTGGTATGTTTGGGGGTTTGGCCTCTTCCTATACTGATTCCATTTTTGTGTCTTTTGGTCTCAAACCTCTCACAATTTCTGTCGAACCAATCCTGTTTTCTGGCCCTGCATCTCTGTTTTGGTATGAATGTTTGTGTGCCTTCCTCGTATATTTTGCAAAATTTGGCAAACATTTCATTTACTTCCCTGCCTAGCAACAATTCTGTCCAATTACACTCATTAAAAAAAATTCGAAGTTCCCCATAGTGTCCTCTCCTTAAATCGAGTTTATCAACTGTTTCAATGTCCCCATTTTCTTCTAGATGATATCTTAAAGCATAATCAATGTCTAACAGGACGTGATCACTCTTTCCCAAGGGAGGAAGGTACTGGATGTCAAATATCTCTTCTTCTTTCCTGGTGAATACTAGATCCAGTACTGACGCTACATCTCCTTCCCTCCCTCGTGTGTGTGTGTGTGTGTGTGTGTGTGTGTGTGTGTGTGTGTGTGTGTGTGTGTGTGTGTGTGTGTGTGTGTGTGTGTGTGTGTGTGAAAAAAGACAGCTTTGAATGTAATGAAATGCCATTTTCTGGGTGAGTCCCGGAGGCTCCCCAGACCTATCCAGGCTGATATGAATATCCCTAACTTTGGCATCAGTCAATGTGGGTGGAGTTCTAGGCCTACTGAAGACCACGAGCCAAAACCTGGCCCCCCTCAGAGAGGCACAAGGAGTAATGGCCTGTAGAAATACACATGTGATTTTGGAGAATTCTATATCTGCCATCGACTGGGACAGGCACCCAGAAAGGTAAGCGCCCCAAAACAAACCCCTATTCTGGTTAAAACAACGAAAATAAACAAACAAGTGGACAGAACTTCCCAAATGATAACGAGCAAATGAGCATGACGTCACACGAGCCGTGCCGCATGTCTGCGCAGTTCCCCCCTCCTCAGGAGGGAAAAGCGGAAGCCCCAGACCCTCCGCGCCGGTGATCCACACCCCAGTTCTGAGGCTAGATATCAACATACGCAAAAACCTCCGACCAGAGGGAGGGAGGGTTGGCGGGGAGCCTCTGGGACTCGCTCAGAAAATAGCTTTTCATTACATTCAACACTGGTTTTCAGGGGGTAGCCCCTACGGCTCCCCAGAGCTACTTCACCAAAGACGAAAAAAGAAAAGGGACTTACCTAGGAGGCGGTCGGTGCTCACATCTCAACTCAAAGTCGAGACAGGCTGTAGCCGCCGACCCAAAGTGACACAGGCCCGACAAGGCCCAGGAATGTTAATGAGGTAGCATGCAGCCAGGACCCTGTTCAACCACCAAAAACCCCGTACCCGAATGTCAGCCTAGGACATGTTCCCAGAGACGGCAACAAGAGCAGCAAACTTACGAACGTCATGGGCACAGGGATAGACCACAGGCTGGCT